TTGGTACTTTTGTGACAACTTAGTCATTTTAGTTTGCATTTGTAAGCACTAGCTGCAGAACATGGTTGTTTAGGATTGAAGCAAGTGCAATGAAAGGTACTATATACCTAATTACTGACCATATCTAAATGAATACACGTGCGAGAAAAGGATGCATATGTAAGTATGCAACCTATGCCTGAAAAAATATCTCGATATTGCAAACAACCTATTTTATGTATGGTCATTTATACTTGTGCACCTAGTGTTTGAATGTATCATATTGTTAGGCGTTGTTTGTGTATGGAGAATAAATCGTGACTCAAGTGTGCACTACAATTTGATCCGTTAATGGCAAGTTAGAAAGGCATGGTAAATTGGTTTGCTATTAAGATTCTCAAATCTTTTCAGGATTTTTATGCAAATTTGCATGGTGTTTACATTTGGGTGCATGGAGGACATATTTGTATACATTGATATTTAAGATGTTCTTTGATCTATGGTGAACAAATTAGCTTAAAACACTATGGTCATTTGAAGCATGGTTGAATACATACTAGTGCTCAAACATACATTGAAATGAGTTAGCTGTTGAAATTCATGATTTAGTTTTGTTGGAAATTGAAGTTTGAATATTTGAATATAGTCTACAACTTTGCTCAATACACTAAACTTATTTTGCTTGGTCTTCAACATGTTTGAATGACATAGCACTATCAACATAATTTGGTTACATGTATAGGCAACCATGGCATGGTATGTAGTGCATGTTGGTCGGATGCCTGGGATCTACCTTACCTGGGAAGATTGCGATGCACAAGTCAATCGATACCCAGGTAATTGTTACAAAAAATACAATACAAAAGCTGAGGCTTTGAGGGCCTACTATGGTCCAATGAGTGCAAACCATGGCCATCCACCGGTAATGGAGATTGAAGAGGAGCCACCCGCCGGAGATATGAAGATTAGGAGAATTGCTCCTTGATCTTGGAAAGATGCCATGCTTTTTATTTATGGCTATTGTCATTGATTTTCTTATTTGAAAGTTGATGTAGGCTTTGTTTCGTAGAACAATAGGTGGACTTTGTTGTATGGAGCCAATCAAACAATGCATTTGTTGTACGTGAACTATTTGTGGGCTTATTATTAGACTTTGTATTAAATCTCTATTAGTTGGGTAATATATATATGCACAAATGCTACTAGTAGTTGTACGCAGCCAAAACTGACCACAATCATGTCATAGCCATGACTTGTCATCGCCCATTAACCCGTCGCCCAAGAACTGATAGGCAACAAGAAGCGGCTGATATTGGTGGGACGGGAGAGCAGCATGATTCGACAAACAATGGCCATAACAATCAGGACAGTGAGAATGAGGTACCATGGACCCCTACCACTCTTCTTGAGCTGGATCAAGATGACCAAGATGACCAGGTAACTTAGGTATCATGTGACTAGGTAGACACACACGCTAATTAATTAAGAGTGTATTAGTTACTTGGTGTCTCCAGCAGGAGGTTGAGCCGACCGAGCAAACCCGGATGGTTTGGGTAGTAGCAAGGCCAGAACCAAGCGAGGCGTGTCATAGCTTCCTACTGGTAGGAATGCACACTGGCACATCACTGAGTTTGACGAAGTCGGTGAGCCGCTCACACCCTAAAAAGTTGCGGCCAAATACAAGAGTGTCATCGGGGCACTTATAAGGGACTACATCTCGATTAAGTACAGGAAGTGGATTGGGAAAGATGATGACCCATGGAGGATTCCCGAAAGTGAGAAGGATGACATATGGGAGAAATGGATCCCACCATATTTCACTTTCCCACAGGATTATGACAAGGAGCAAGTCAAGAAAAAACAAAAGAAATCATGGGGACATGCTTCAAGACTTTCAAGGGGACATTAAACAAGAAATTTATCCTCGAGGATAAAGAGCCAAATTGGGATGGTAGAGAGTACACCAAGAAGAAGGACTTCTGGCAGGAATTCAAGTAATATAGGCAATCCGAGGAGTACTTGGAACTGAGCAGGAAGAATAAGGAGAACTCTCTTAAAGCGACGAATCCTCATAAACTCAGCTCTCATGGCTACGCTAGTAAGATGGATGCATTTGAAAGGGAACTTGAGGAGGTGGAACGCCTTGGCATTGAGCCTGAGACTGCCAATTAGGAGCCCAGATTGATATATTTCTATATGGCGAGGGGGGTACACCACGGTCCGGGCAGGAGCTTTAGCTCCACAAATCCAGCCATGAGCAGCCTCATCCAGAGGATCTCCAAGGTATATGATGAGGTGAGGAAAGGGACCCGTAGTACTAATAGGGAGAATGATGTGCTCACCCAAGCACTCAGAAACAAGGAGCACCCTAGTTGCACTAGAGGAGCCGGTCTTGTTCCTTGGAAAATAGTATTCGAGGAAGAATCTTCCACTTATCGGAGCCACTCGAGGGGTAGAGCGGCACAAGAGGTAGAGTACATGAGGGTTCTGAAAGAGATGGAAGACAAATTCAAAAAACGGATTGATGAGAGGGTTCATGAAAAAGTCAATGTACTTATGGCATCTATGGGATCAGGAGTAGTACCACAAGAACCTCTTCTGACTAGCTTTAGCCCACAGTTTAGGGGTCACAGCAGCAGCGGATCGACCCCGCTCGATGATGAAGAGGCGAATGCGCCTCATCTGGTGGACAGCATCACCGAACCCGTCAATGTCAGGCTGTACATCCATCAGCAATGGATAACTGACAAGGTGGCAGTCGGCCAGGCCTGGCCTATGGGAGACGGGACCATTAATGGCCGCCCAATTCCAACGGGGTATGCCCACGTCAGCATTGATACTATACTCGATAAGAAGTATAACAAGATGCAAAATGATTACCCCGCACAGGAAGACAGGCAACGCCTTGTTCAGAACAAGGTCGCTCATGTGGCCTAGCGCAAGCGCTTCATTAAGCTTGATCACCAGTTGGCTTCGGATGATGATGAGGATGACGGTGAAACTTCGCCACCCAGAGATGATCACTCACCATCTCCCAACAGAGGAGATCACACTACCTTCCCTGGTTCCTTGCCATCACCCCCTAAAAGATAGAAGTCTCCTTCTCTTCCTCCTCGTCCTCCATCTTCATTAGCCCCAAGAAAAGAGAAGACTCCTCCTCCTCCTCTCTCTTCATCACCCCTGAGAAAACATAATTCTCCTCCTCCTCCTCCTCCTCCTCCTCCACAATAGCCCACAACAAGATCTAAGGCATCCTTGCAGTCGTAGAAAAGATCCTCGGATTTGGTCTCTAATGCTACCAAAGTGGACCAACATAAAAAGAAAAGGACGATGAGTGGCAGCGTTACAAACTTGATGAACCAACAAAAGCCAGAAGTAGCCTCCAAGGAAGACAAAGTTAGATTTTGGAATCTATTTGCCTCATTGCCTAAGTGGAGGGTGCAGTCCGAATTCAATAGGCAAACAGAGAGTAAGCACAATCAATTAAGAGTCAAAGAAATACACCATGAAGATCAAAGGAAGATAAACAAGATTGTCGAAAACAACCCCAGATTAAGCAGGGATGATGCCGCGAACATCGACTATGATTCACTAGCATATGAGACGGCAAGACCGGTAATGTAGTTTCAAAGAGGCAATTTCTTGGTGGATGAGGAGTATAAAAATTTGACAACATATATGCGTGACTTGCATGATTATTACATGGCCGAAGCACTTGAGATGGGACAGGCGGGTTTTGAACATATTATCCATCCGCCGCATGTTTTCCATTATCCTAATGAAGAGAAGCACTTTTTCGGTTGGGATCACTTGTTTCAGCTATTCCAGAGACGCGATCTCGATACAGAAATATTGATGCTGTGGACTATGTAAGTATCTTACTCGCACGATATTATAATTAACTACTCTCTCGATACACAAATAGTTAACAACTGCACATTCCCCATGAATTATGTAGGTGTGTAGCAAAACATTGCTTCAAAACAAAGTACGCTCATATGTCTTTTCTGGACCCTGAGCTAGTCAACGAGAGAACATGCGGAGGCATGCATGGAAATAAAGTGAAAGATTTAATGGAGACACTGATTGCCATTTTCGAAAATTTCTAGATGAGTAATAAAACCGAAATACTTCTAGCCTACAACTACGAGTATGTGTTCTCTGCTCTTATTTTATGCTTGTTTTTTGTAGTTACGATTATTCGTTAACTAGGATTTTGTGATTGCAGCAACCATTTTCTCTTCATTATTGTCGATAAATTATATAAAACAATAAAATACGAAAAAGAGATCACTGTCGGTTTGCATGTCAAGTCGGTAGTGATGTCTTGAGCAACATTGCCGGTTCAAAGCTCAAGCCGGCAGTGTTGGCTTGAGCATCACTGCTGGCTCGAGCCACAAGCCGGCAGTGTTGGCTTGCAAATCACTGTCGGCTTCAACCATAAGCCGGCAGTGTTGGCTTGAGCATCACTGTCGGCTCGAGCCACAAGCCGGCAATGTTGGCTTGAGCATCACTATCGGTTCATGCCACAAGACGACGGTGTTTGCTTGAGCATCACTGTTGGCCCGAGCCACAAGCCGGCAGTGTTGGCTCAACTGACACTGCCGGTCCGACAGTATTACCTGCACATCACTGGCGGTTTGATAGTGATGTGAACCCCATATCACTGCCGATTTAAAATCCGACAGTGAAGGGGGTTTTGAACTGACGGTGATGTCTTGATCTAGGGTAGTGAACAGAGCAGTAGTTAATAATCTACTCCGTACTTGCTAGCTAAAAGTTAATTAGACAGATGTAAAACATCCCACGATATAGAATATTATACGACAATGTCACGGTGGTTCCAGAAAAAACAAACAAAGATAAACTAGGCTATGGCCATACACATGCCACAAGCCAAAAGTCACGTGATACGGTGATAGCAATATATTTAGAATACATTGCAATAACAGCTACGCTCAAGCCTTGATTTGTTAAGATAAAAAAAGCCTTGATTTGACCCCTCCCTTTTTAATTTTAATTTAAATCTCAATCGGCACCAAGCGAGCGATTTCTTCCTTGGGCATTCGGCCGCCGTGGTTAATGATGGTGACGCTCTTCTTCTTCGCAGTGTCCAGGTCCTCCGCGGACACGTTCATGACACCGTTTGCATCGATATCGAAGGTGACATGTAAACGAGCTACGCCCTTGGGTGCCGGGGGGATGCCGGTGAGCGCGAACTTGCCGAGCAGGTTGTTGTCCCTGGTGTCTGCGCTCTCGCCCTCATACACTGGAAAGCACACGACGGTCTGGTTGTCGTAGAGGGTGGTGAAGAGCTTGGCCATCTTGGTCGGGATGGCGGTGTTCCTCGGGATAACTACGCTCATTGTACAGTTATCTTGAATCTCAACCCCCAGCGAGAGTGGCGTGACGTCGCGCAGAAGCATATCCACCAACCTCCCATCGTCGGTTTCGCCGCCGCTGAGAATGGAGGCCTGGATGGCGGCGCCGTACGCACAGCTTCATCAGGGTTGATGGTCTGGCAAAGCTGCTTCCCGCCAAAGAACTCCCGGAGCATGTTCTGCACCTTGGGGGTACGGGTGGAACCGCCCACCAGGACGACGTCGTGGACGCTGCTCTTGTCCATCTTGGCATCGCACAAGCACTTGTCCAGAGCCTTCATGCACTTGCTGAAAAGATCCTTGTTGAGCTCCTCGAATAGAGACCTGGTGATTGTGGCGCAGAAGTCAATGCCGTCATGGAGCGAGTCGACCTCAATGGTGGTTTGTGCGGTGGAAGACAGCATCCTCTTTGCTCTCTCGCAGGCAGTCCTCAGCCGCCGGAGCGCCTTCTGGTTGCTATGGATGTCCATCTTCCCGTGTCTCCGTGTGAACTCACGTAGAGCGTATTTCACCATCTCGCTGTCGAAGTCCGCCCCGCCAAGGTGAGTGTCACCGGCGATGGCCACCACCTCGAAGACACCCTTGTTCTTCTTGTTGGTTACTGGATCAATGTTGAGGAGGGAGACATCAAAGGTACCACCACCAAGATCAAAGACGAGCACCGTCCTTCGTTTGTTGCTGAGTGGCATCTTCTCAAGACCATATGCGAGAGCTGCAGCTGTCGGCTCATTGATGATGCGCATGACATTTAGGCCGGCGATGGTGCCGGCGTCAATGGTAGCCTGGCGCTGGGAGTTGTTGAAGTAGACAGGCACGGTGATGACAGCGTTCTTGATCGCTTTACCGAGATATACCTCGGCTGTCTCTCTCATCTTGGCCAGCACCATGGAGGAGATCTCCTCAGGCCTGAACTGCCTCTCCTTGCCTTTATGCTGCACCACGATCAGTGGCCGTTCGTCACGGCCTGCGACGACTTTGGAAGGCCACAACTTGGCGTCTTCTTGTACAGATTCGTCCCTGAATCGGCGGCCGATCAGTCGCTTCACTTCTGTGAAGATTTAGTCATGTGTTAGTCAACAGAGTGAAGCATAAATAGCATAGCAGCAGTACTTTGATCTGCATCTCTGTACTATGCGTTCCAAAAATTTCTTGCAAAGTATGAGTAATAAAGGATCGATTTGCTATATATGCACCAGATATTAGGTTTGGTCCTACTGATACTCTGTAATTTTCTTTGATTTTACTATGAATTTCCAGCAAACCTCGTTTCAAGGTTGTGGAGGAGCTGTGCGGTTCTGATCAGGGGCCAGATGCCCAGATGGACCGACGCACTGTAACTACACACTCACCAACATCAAACCATGGAAAAAAATAGTGGGCTATAGCGGCCGGAGAGGCTTGACGCTACGCTATTGCTCTTTATGCCGCTATGTCAACTTTGACCGTTGTTACGAGCTATAGAGCCGCTAAGTTGCATAGCTTTAGATTTAAAATAGTGGCACTATTTCATATTTGCATACTAAGTCACCCCAAAACGCAGTTAAAAAAATGCCAGAAATACAATGTGAACATGCAGCTAGAGAAATTCAAGAGGACAAGAGGCATGCATGTTTCATGCAAGGATATGAACGTACGAATGATGGAGCGGCAAACTTTTATATAGTTCCTATTTCCTAACAGAGCAGCATTGCACGCAACCTAGCTACTTAGGCACAGCTGATAGATCTGTGATGCAAACCAGCGAGTCCACACGCGTGAGGATAGAAGAAAATAAACAAGTCTAGATAAGCGAGCGATGAAACAGCTCGTGTGTAGTAGTTCGTTCTCACCGAAGATGGTGTTGGTGGGGTTCAAGGCGGCCTGGTTCACCGCCGCCTCGCCGACGAGCCTCTCGGCTCTGGTGAACGCGACGCAAGACGGCGTGAGGCGATTGCCCTGGTCATTGGCGATGACCTTGCCGCGGTCGTGACGCCACACAGCCACGCACGAGTAGGTCGTTCCCAGGTCGATGCCGATCGCCGGTCCACCGCCCTTGGAGGCCGCCATCTCAACAGTCAGAGGCGAGCAAAGTAGAAAGTATACTCGGACTTTCTCCAAAGAGACAAGTGCTCGGAAATTATGGATGTGCTATTAGGCGCACGGGGTGTGCGTATATATGCGGAATAAATTGATGCCGCTCCGGTAGTCGGGCGTGCTAGGGCAACCGTTCTCTCCACGATGGCTGCTGGGCTTTTCCTTAAGGACATATAATCCTTCTTGGAGTATCCTCAAGACTCTTTTCTTAAACTCAATCTCTAAGAAGAGTCCCAATCTTTTTTAGATAATGGAAAATTTCGACATCAGCCTTCTTCTAAGAAGAGAAGAAGCATCGGTCCAAAATTATTACAATAGCACACCCATAATTAAGACTTATTACAGGTTCAAAACTAAAGTTCAAGACGGTAAATGAAGGACCATCCATGCGATGCGAAGAACTCCATGGCTCTCGATTCTAGTAGTTTGCAAGCGTTAAGAATCTGTTCCCTGCCGTCATCCAAGCGCTACAATAGAGCCCAAAATCGTAACCCATGTGTCCCCCTGAAAAGAACCTACAAAAAAGTTTTTGGGTGACCTTTATCAAAAACTACATTATACCTTCTGATCCATATTGCCTAACAAAACGCCGCAACCCCAGTCAATAAAAGAAGATTATGATTGGAACCTCCTACCTTTGACCAACTATTGAAAAGATGGTACGTGTTCCTTAGAGAATGAATGCCAAACAAAACAAACACAACACGCCAAAGAAAACTGGCATAATGGCAATCAAAAAACAAGTGTTGGATAGTTTCAGGCGTGCTACAAAAACAACAAGCCTTACTACCATTCTAATTCCTTTTAGCAAGATTGTCTTTTGTCAGTATCGCCCCCTTGTTTTAGAGCCAAAGAAAAATCTTAATCTTCAGGGGCACTTTCATATGCCAAATTTCCTGGGTAACCTTAATCCCGTTATTGACTACGTATTTGTACATGGATTTAACAGAAAACAAGTCATTATTATTTAAGTTCCAGATGAAAGTATCCCGACCCTCATTTAAGTTCATAAAAGCAACTCTTGCAACTAGAATTTGTCATTTCAACATCTTGTTCTAAAAGACACATTGAGAGGTGTGGAATTAAGTACATCAGTCATTGTTGCTTGTTTCTTGCGCACTATATTAAATAAATTCGGGTATTAGATTTGCAAGGCTTGGGAGCCCAACCATTTATCTTCTCAAAATCTAATTTGAGTTCCATTGTCTAGTTTAAACTTTCCAAGACTTAAGAAAATGTCTTTGACTCCCAATAAACCATTCCAAAAATGCAAAACCCATTTTTCTTTTCAATTTGGCTTAGAGTTTTGTTCTTTAGGTACTTGTTCCTTATTAACTCCTGCCAAGTGCCCTCCTCATTGCAACGTTTGAAAAGCCATTTGCTTAAAAGACACTTATTTGTAAATCTAGATTTTGAATTCCTAAACCACCTTGCTCTTTTGGTTGGCACAAAATATTCCACTTTGTCGGTCTATATTTCTTTTTGTGCTCATCATTTTGCAAAAAAAACTGTGATCTAAAATATTCAATCTTTTTTAGAACACCTCTCGGGACTTCAAAGAAAGACATCATAAACATAGGTAAGCTTGACAAAACAGAATTGATTAACACTAATCTACCCCCATATGATAAATATTTTCCTTTCCCCCGCTTAACTTCTTTTGAATTCTTTCTTCAATTAATTTGTAATCCGTATTATTTAACTTCCTATAATGCATAGTAAGGCCCAAATATGGAAAAGGGTATGATCCCATTTTGCAACCAAATAGATATGAGTATTGCTCCTCGGATTCTTTTGCTTGGCCAAAGCAAAATAATTCACTTTTATGGAAGTTGATTTTCAGACTTGATAATTGTTCAAAAGTACCAAGCAAAAGTTTCAAATTTTTTGCCTGTTCAATATCATGGTCGAAAAATAGAACTGTGTCATAGCATCTATCTTCTCTCTCATCATAGCATCTACCAATCACATCTATTCATATCTTGTTGTTGCGGAGACATAGTTTTCTATATAAAAAACAATTTCATTCTCTCCCTTCGATAACTATAGTGACACATCACCATTTTGTTTGGTTGACACCCTAATTAATAGCTATAGAAAATCATCTAGTTTCTAGGTTGGCAGTGTTAAAAGGTAGTGTTTGGTTGAGAGACATCATATGGGATGGTTTTGTCTCGGTTTTCAGAGACAGGACAATCCCATCTGTTGTTTGGTTGATGATATATGGTTTCGTCAAAGCTAGCACCACAATTTTCAGTTTGGTCTTGGGACATTAAAAATGAGATGAGCTACCTAACATGTGAGGCCCACCTATCAGCCTCTTTTTTTTTTTTCTTCTTCCTCTCTCTTCCTTCTTCCCTACGCACGCGTTGGGCGGCCTGGTTCACAGCAAACAACAGGGCGGTGATGGGGTGGAGCTGGCCCTCGCTCGCACAGCGGCACTGTTGGAGGTCGGTCGCGCGGCGGTGAAAGACCTAGTTTGGTTTTGGTAAGTGAGTGCCAGCCATGTGGACTAATGCTTTCATTGAGTATGATTAGCCAGTGTCCACTTGATGGTGGTGAACAAGACATAGGAGGTGATGGAGATGGAGATCGTGATCACACACATGCAACGGTTCATCAAATGGTGAGAAGTTAGAGCAACAGCGAGGCACAAGACAAAGGTATATGATAGGGCTTTGCGTTTGCCAACCAAGGTGCAATAAAATGCATGGTTGAATTTAGGATAAATGACCGTACTATAAAGTGGGAAAATCTTTAATTATTGAAGCGTGCAAACCACTTTAAGCATGCAATTTGGAAAACAGTGGGCTCCATGTTCCGTTTTGATCAGTTTGCGTGCTTTTTTTTTTGTTATTGTTACATACACATATGGGATGGATAGTCTTTCCTATATACAGTTAGAAATTTCTAAAACCGAATCCATCACTAGTGAGGTGTCATATTTAGTGAAGATATAAATTCTATGCGACACAGATCCTTCTATTTCCATTTGTATCGAGTCATCCTCCTATTCCTTGTTTAATCACACGTCAATTAATCCCTTTCGTACAGTAGTAGTAAACAGGGCTATGTGTATGTAGATTTCTCATGATCCAATAAATGCTGACGCATCATGCATGCATGTTTTGACTTCGTGCTAACAAACACACGGACACATAAAACCTTTCTGGTCTACATTATTGCCCAGCCAAACATGCAGCACTACTACCATAAGGATTTCCAGGGGCGGCTCAAAGAGGTTTGTAGGGACGGCTCGGCCAGCCGCCCCTACGAAACCGTTGTTACAAATGCCGATTTTGTAGGGGCGGTTCTCTAGTCACCCCTACAAATCCTATTTGTGAGGGCGGCTAGTAACACAAATAGGATTTGTAGGGGCGGCTTGTAAAACCAGCCGCCCTATAATTCCTATTTGTAGGAGCCGTTAACTCTAGAATTGTCCCTATAGTCCGTTCTTCGGCAAAAAAAAATTGAAATTTGAAAATTTAAATCTGACCAGAACTACATATATATAATATATAATTCACAAGGACATTATATCATCAGCTAATTTACAAGAAGATATATACATTACAAACCCATAATAATTCACAAGAACCATAATAATTTATATTACTCCATTACAAACTCATTCATTACAAGCCATAATAATTTAGATCAGTTCATTACAAACCTATAATAATTGAAATTTGTTCATTACAAACCATAATTATCCAGCTCAGTTCATTACAACCAATGGAAATTTAAAGTCTTAGAACTTCATGACGTCGTACCACGTAATCGGAGAAGTGTAGGTCATTCATTTCATATGCATAAATATCACTGATGTAGCGCAATGTATTTACTAGTGTACTCTCTTGCTTCACAAGATCATTCACAAGGTCTATTGATGACAATCAGCAATGGTCCAGTAACGTCCCCTAGTCACAATTTTTTTTTCTAGATTCCCTCTGAAGTGAAAGTTGAGCCAGCATATTCCCATTCATAACGACCCATTTGATATATGGCCTAGATTATAATGGCTTCAAAGCTACAATTTGCATATGTTATGTCATACTGCTCAACCTGCAAGTGTTGAGAAAAATGTGCTGGTTACCAGAACTATGCATATATATAGACATAACAATTAATTTGGATATAAGTTATGAGACTGACCACATCATTTATGTTGTTCTTAGCAAGCTATGCATAATAGCGCCCAATATCGTAGTGGAGGCCCACATTCAAAGCTCCTATCCTCGTGGAGGAGTATGTAGGAATATTGTACCCAATATTTTAAAGTGCCCTTAAATATTCTAGCATAGCATATTTTTGCGCACTAATGTGGTGAGGTTGACCGCTGCCCGTCTCCAAGATTGGTACAACCTGACCTTGTTGGTTACCCAACCTAGCGATAATAGAAAAGCCAATTCGACATTGCGTGCATCCACCCTCTATAGGGAATGTATCAACATTGATGTCATCAACCTCGAAATTTGAGTCTCTCTGAACCATGGTATAGGATGAATTATCTATATTTAACAATTATATATATCAGAATAAAATATCTATAGAGGTGTCTTTAAAACATGTTACTTACTATGCCAGGATATGGGTGCTCTGCCATCCCCAATCTTGGTTCAAAACCTAGATTATATGCATAATTGCCAAAACTTGGAATATCCCGCGAAGGTACTCTGGCGTAGGGCATCCCCATTCTTGGTTCGAAACCTAATCTTCTCCTAAATTTATGTTAAAGAAAACAGTTATAGTAGAGGAGGACAAGAGAGGAGAGGGGTAGCAGAAGTAGGAGCAGAGGATATGAGAGGAGAGGAGTAGGAGTACGACTAGTAGTAGTAGAAGAGGAGATAAGAGTAGAAGTAGTAGGACTAGGAGAGGAGGGTCTACAAAGCAGCAACTGCCTGCCAATGGAGAGTAGAGCAAAGGAAAGGAGTAGTAAAAGTAGCAGCTGCTGCCATATAATTTATGTTCTA